AAAAAACATTTCTAATCGAAAGAGCAATCGATAACAGCTTTTACATTTTTCTCCTGAAACATACTTCTAAAAGGAAGGAAATCTTTGGATCTAATGGAGATTGTAAGCATATCTCATTGTACTCCTATAAATGTAGCTCATTTGTGGTAAATTTAATTTCTAATCATTTGTAAGATTATTTTAAGTAAGTTAAACACTACTCATAATTTTCATTCCAGTGCAATCTACCTTCACCTAAAGTACTTATGTAGATTTCAATATCATCCATAGACAAAATATGTATATAAGAGATTAAATACTTTAAGTATTACACGACATGAACAGAATTTTTGCTCTGTGCCTAATGTTTTTTTTTTAACTTTCAGAAATCAGAACAGCGCAGTGCTGCAGGATACTACAGCCTGCGCAGGACCATTTTACCAAACACCCGCCTGCGCGATTATTGTGTGGAGAGCCGTCACCAAAGCCAGGTCTTCAACTCAAAGAAAGCCAATGGTGGCAATAAAGTCCTCTGGGAATCAATCATGTGTCCCAGTGACCCCAAGAATCCCACTGCCATCAAAATGAGACTGAAGATGATAAAGTCTACTGGTGCTCCTCCTCCATCTGCAGCCAGTCCCTCCAGGTCCTCTTCTAAGATCCTGGACCCTCCTCAAGACCCAGATATGTTCCAGCACAGAGGGGTGCCCATCCAGTGTGGAACCTCTTTTGGAACAAATGGAGAGTGTAGGAGCCAGCCAGCAATCCCATGGTACTGCCTTCGCACTGCAGCCCGGGATCAGGCTGGAGACTCCATCTCCCGCACTCACTGGACAACTGCCTACAACTCATGTGGCTCCATCGTCCAGGCAGAGGTAGAGTCCAGCAGGAAAGGCAAACTGTAGTGGATCACATACCTTAGAAGTTACTACTGTCCAAGGGTTTTATTTAAATATTAATAGTTTGTCACAGCTGCTTGACCTTACTCATCTAATCTTTGGTTTATTCTTGAATACTCTGGAGAATTTACTTGAAGGTTTTAACTGTGCCACTGCGTTGTTCTGCGATTTGGGTGGCATGTCTTTTCAATTCAACCCTTTTGTCTGTCCGCAGATGGAGAACAGACTACTGAAGGAAGCAGTGCTGCAGACGAAGCCAACACACCCGCACGTAACAGCGGGGCCGAAAGAAACTCTTGAGACAAAGAGAAACGCCCCCGTTCCCGATTCGGCTGCCGGCCACGGCTCCCCCAGTCATACCACCTGTAGGAGCGATGAGCCGCTGCTCATCCATGGGCTGAGTGTGGAGGAGTACCGCCAGGTGTACCACTCCGTGGTGGAGCCCATGAGGATGAACTCCAAGGGGCGGCCCAAGCCATATAGCCTGGAGCTGGGCCGGCGCATCAAGCAGAGGCTGTGGGAGGCCCTGCACTGCCCCCGCTTACAGGAGATAGTGCACCCCGATGGACGAGTGCAGTTCATTAGTGTTACCACGGGGGGGCACAAGAGATACGCACCCCAGATTGAGGTGGACATCAGTCAGGAGCCCCTCCCTGCCCGAAATTCCTCAAGCCTGCCACCCCTGAAGAGAGCTAAGCACTGACCATCCTCTAACTAAAAAGTGTCTATTGTATTATTGTATTAACTTCTCATTAAATTAAAAAAATTCCTAATCTTTAAAAATCTTGTCCTCCTTCCATTATAAAGTTCACTTAACTAGTTAAATGTTTCCTAGGTCATGCATCCATTTCCTAAGTGAAATGCAGAGTGACATTTTAGCAAAATGAACAAATGTGTCTTTAAGCACATAAAACATTGTCTAGTTTACAAACCTTCTATAATGCCACATGTATTAAACAAGTTCCCCTTCTCAGCTGAGTAAGTTTCTCTCCAGGTACAATAATCTACTAAAGATGTGCCACTCCTCCAATTGGCACAAACTCTCCTTTAGGGCATTGTGGAGTTTGCAGCACATTGAATTAACTGAGGAGCATATCTGAGGACCTGGAAGTTTACTCCCAATTAATTTAAAATGCATGGGGAAAATAATAATTGCCAATCAGGCCAAAAATACCAGTTTGAAAGAAGAGATCACATACGAAACCAACCAGTGCTAAAGTATTTCAAACATGTCTCCCAAGCTATCCAGCAAAAACATTTAAAGAGAAGTCTTCTTTGATGGTGGGATATTTCTGCACTAGCGTTTGAACGCTGTCGGCCGGTTCCCCTTACCTGACATTCTCTTCTTCCTCGTGGTCTTCATATGCCACACTCGACCCATTGGGAAGGTCCTCCATCTGCCCGGGGCCCTCTGCTTTCTCTGTGGGCATTGTTCTGTGTTGTGGCAGGCGTCGTGTGTCTCTTCACAGGGCTCTGCTGGAGAAAGAACAAGCAGCAGGTCAGGCAGAGTGTGTCAATGGAGGGGAACGCTGCATGTCAATCAGCTACTGTATACATACCTCTTAATCCACACTTTCCTTACCAAGGTCACCGCATAAGAAACAAAATATAGATGGAGAAAAGCATAGTGGGGCTGGAATTTTAAAAAACGGGACTAAATGTTCCTCTTGTACATTACTAATAGCAAATTTGAAAACTCTCCTATAATAACCCTATACAGTACAGTTATCAAAACTCAAACTACAATAACGCTCTGCACAATCAGAGTCAGGTAGCCAACAGGCTACCCGCACAAAACAGAATAAAAAACACCTTGTCTAGTTATTCCAAGGAAGCAGAGCTTTTCTCCAGAATCCACTTTAACACTGAGGGTCACATTCCGCTGGGTTACATAGCTCCCACGCTAAAAACATATGGAAACCAGCTGTGCAGCTTCCTTATTTTATAAAAAAGTTACTGTCAAATAGAATAGAAAGAATGGACAATGACAAATCACACACTTTACCTCCAGGAAAGATCCTTCGTTTATTATATTGCCTTGCATGGAAGTTTACACAAATAATTTTATCCTAATGGTTTTAAAAGAAATCTTAAGAATACCAAATATGTACAACCAATCGAAAAAAAAACAATAGCATAATTTATACAGATATATGTATACAGATATGCAGTATAGAGTACATGGAAATTGTAACTGAACGTCATTAGACACGTAAGGAAATTGTGAATATTAGAGCTATATCTAAGAAAGAGAATTATGTGGCCTTAAAAAAGAAATAAAACCTGCTTCCTTCTTTCTTGAAATGAACAAGACGATAGATCCAAAGGAGATGACTGTAATCGGTTTGAGACTAGATGAACCAGTTATTCTGGGTTCGAGAGGGGGGGGAACATTTTTTAAAATAATACCTCAATTTCTCTGGAATGAAGAATCATTCAGGTTTCCAATTTAGTGGTACAGTTTCGTTTTAGTGCTACTGTTTGGCATGGGAATTTTTTCTCTCTCTACTCCAGTAGTAGTAACATGGTCACAGTAAAGTTACCACTTGTGCTCTAAGTAAATCATATTCCACAGCCTGCTTTTCAATTCAGGATCTTTCAATGGAAAAAATTCATCAATCTCTTCTCCTCCCCACTGGTAGCTGCTCTGTGGCGAGTGTACTGGAGCACTGTGGCTGCTGTCACATCATCCAGGTGGGGCTGCACACTGGTGGTGGTGGAGGGGATCCCCATTACCTGTAAAGCGCTTTGAGTGGAGTGTCCAGAAAAGTGCTTTATACGTGTAAGCAATTATTAACTTCATTTTGTCTTAATAAGACCTGTAGAAAAGGCACTAATGTTACACTAGAGCCAACATCCATCCATCGTCTAAAAGCTTCATCCAGTACAGGGTCAGAGGGGAGCCAGAGCCCATCCCGGCAAGCAGGCACCCCTGGGGTGTCTCCCCTCACACTGGGGGGCTAGCTGAGTCAGCGGGGCGGATCAGGGACAGCGCACGTCACTCTTTTGACAACAGGACAGGGGTCCCCCCCCACCCTGCCGAGACAAAGCAGAGACAAAGCAGAGCCCACCCAACCGCCCCCCTACTCTTGCAGTATAACACGGTACAAAGACAGCCGCACCGTGTACCAGGGGCTGGAAAGTTCAGGCTGTTTGCGCTCAGCTCCCCATTGTGCACTGGCTAAAGACAGGTTAGAGAGTGTAAACAGCAATAACATGCTCCCAAGTTTCATGACAACAATTACAGTAAGTGTCCTTAGAGCTGTCCATGGGCACAGCAAAACCATCATTCTCCTCTGTTAAGATCCCTCACTTGCCAACCACAACAAATAAAATACAACCTTAATGTGTTAACTTGGCTATTTTGCATAAACAAGCAAAAATAAATATTGGGATAAACTCTAGTCACAATTTAGGATGTTTTGGTCAACAACACTTTATTACCACAACAACTCCAAAACAGGAAAATGTATCTTTGGGGGGTTTTGGTGCGCTATGAATCTACCTCCGTTTCTCAAACAGGTGATGAAGGCAGGGGCTTTCACCCGTTGTATAAAATCTTCCCATGGCGATGATCAGGTTTATACTACTCAACAAACCCCTTCATCAATATCCTAGTCATGTGCTGTGCCCCCAGAGACGACTTCATCTGTAAAAGTAACCTATAGACGCTATTGCCTGGTAAACAACAGGTCAGTCTGCAAAGGCGTCTCTCGGGAAGGGCTGTATAGATATATACATATATCTGTATAGATAAAAGAAGGATCCAGCCTCTTTAACCCAGAGGAATCCAATTAAAACCAAGATTAAAGCCTAACTCTGCAGAGCTACACTGAAAGCCCCGTCTACAATTCAGTGCTGTTTCTCCCCCCCATTCAAAATGACATCATATAAGCAATGAAACACTAAACATGGCATGAAACAAGCGTGCTTAAAGAAAAGTGCGACTTCAGATCTCTACATCCACCCCTCAGGGCTAGAACCTAAAGCTGATTAACAACAGCTTCAAAATGACCAGGTCGCCATTACTGTCAAGGAAAGGGAAACTTAACTCGGGCACTGCAACAACAAAGCAGCACCGGACACAGCAGGCTTTCTTCGCCAGCTGCGGCAGACTCACACGCTCCCCAGATGTACAGGTCGCAACACACTTTCCCAGCGCACGCAGGCGACAGCGACGCCAACAAAACCGGTGGCCATGCGGGGAAAACTTCGAGAACACACGTTTGCTATGAGGGGAGGGCAGTCATGTGCGGCAGGTCTGGACACACCTGAATTTAAAGACAACACTAATTCCGACCTCTCTCAAGGTGTAACTTAGCTTCGAGAGTGGTAACCCACGCGCAACCTCCTCTGGTCCCGAACTGTAAAAAAAAACGGACATTCGTTACACGCGAAAGCACTGCGGTTACTACAACCCGCAAACCTCACCTGCCTCTACTTTCCCACCACGAACGCGTATGCGTACACGTCGAGGGACTATAAACCCCTGTGTGTACGTTCTGGTGCGGCGACTTCAGCAGCCCTCCAACGTCTTCAATTAACTCGTAAAAACACTTCCAGCATCCCCCACCAACTGACCTTCTTCTATCAGACCCGCATCGCAAACAGGAAATGACCTCGCTGCCCCCGCACCACGAGCTGCTGGCTGGCCAATCAAGCGATTCCTTTTCCAAGCGCCGCCCATGGGATATTCTCAGCCTCCGCAGTCAATATTTGCACAATCGCAGAAATCTCTCTTTCTCTCTCTCTCTTTGGTGGGGTACTTTTCTTTGTCGCCAAAGAAAGTGATAGAGTGGTGCTGTGGCCGTTCTGTTTTGCACGTATATTTTTTTTCAGTTTGAGTTATAGTATCCGTTTTCATTTTGTTACTGTAAATATTTTTTAAAAAAGTTTTGTAATGCTTTTAAATACGTTTTTATTTAATTCGTTCAGTTCTGAAGCCAAGATGTTCAGTGGTTCTTTGCCTCTTGCTAAACTCTAAAATGTTTTTTTGTTATGCTTTCAGTTCCAGGTCAGAAAAGATGACTGAATACATTTTGTTATCTGCATAGAATATGCTGGAGGGGGAAGAAGTCACAAGAAGACAATAAAGACCTTGTAAATAATATTTATTTTAAAAAGACTGCATTTATCGTCGTTTATGACCATGCATAGATGTAAAACTCAGTAACAGGACGCCTGGATGATCTCTTTCTGCACTGGAGTTCTCCAAGACTGGAGTTGTTCACTAACCACTGTATTAACAACACAGAACATAATCCCAGACAGTTACTGTAAATATCTTCCTGATCTGCTTCAGCATGTTCAGAAGGAGGGGTTTCCAAAGCCAACACGCTCCTGTAGCTCATGGATCTCCTGCAGAAGAGCTCCGTTCCGCAGGTTCAGCTGTGGAGCAGAGTGAAAGCGTGGCATCAGACTTTGGTCACTGTGGCGCAGAGCCATGGACGTTTTCTCATGTGTAAGAATGCAAGACTATTTGAGAAAAGGAAATGCAGGAAACACCCTAAATAGCTGCGAAGCCTTATCACAAAAAGCTAATATTATGGAGATATAAACAGCCTCATAGTGTTAGTTGGTAGTTGGATTGTTGTTGCAGTTTGAGAAGCTGCTACAGAGCCTCCTTGTTGGAAAGAAATACATAGTCGCTGCACTAATACCTCATGCATGTGAGCTTGTCATGTGTTCAGATCACTTGAGCCGCTTGCTAAAGGGCCAAGTCTCTCACAACTGTTTAGCCCCTGTTCAAATCTGACCTTTATGGTGTATTTGTAGGACTGCTCTGCTTCCAGATGTCTGCCAGTCTGCAAAACGCAAAAAAAAATCTGGTATTTAGTACACATCAATCAGTTTTTTTTCAACCGACAGTTAAAATGCTGAAACTTGCATCTGAAGTGTTTGTATTTTAAATGACCTATTTGTGTTAATCATTTTTAGAGCGTTATGTAGCACTTTTCACCCAAAATGACCCCAAAACACTTTATCCATATAGAAGGGAACCCAATTTATGTGGAGGAGCCACACTCTTTCCCCTTATTATTCTGTATCATCGCTTATATTTAGAGGCAGACTCAGACAAGCAGAGTTTGAAACAAATAAAACAGTTCAGCCTCTGGATGGCCTTTCATGTACACAGCAATGCTGTACATCATAAAGAACAAAGCCTTTATTTTGTGCAAATTATCACATTTGGGCTGCTACTGATCGTAAAGCACAACATCGCCTCTGTTTTGAAGGATTATCAAATAGTCAACGTATTCTTGTTGGCAAGAGTAAGGTAACTGACTGGCCACTTATTTACTCACCTGGCAACAAGCTTAACAAGTTTAAACATCTTGCCAATGTTTAACACCAGTGACTTAAAAATGATAAAAAGCCTTCTGATAATGTTTTTTACTCGGTGTTCAGAAAAAACTGTTTACTCAGTTTTCAGAAACTTAAAATCAAAAACGTAAACATTTTCACGGCTAAATTCTTAGTCTTTTTATGATCCTTTTAAAATAGAAGCATGATGTGTTGTGTACATTACATTAATGTGGATTTCCCCATGTGCAACATCATATTAAAAATATAATTATAAGACATGAGCAGCATGGTGGCACAGTGGTAAAGATTGCTGATTCAAATTATTGTTTGTATTTATTTATGATTATCCGTTAAAAACAAAAATGTACTACATCAAACACTTCCTTGTGAGTGATTCAGGACTATACATGGGTATCGTTGATTGTATAATTGAGAGTGACTGAGTTTAAAATATTAAACTAATAAAACACCTGTAAAACTGACTGATAGAGCACTAAGTATTCTCTAAAACAGTTTTATGTGTGGTACAATTCTTCGTAGCTCAGAATCTCACAATCCTACATTTGTAAGGGACATAGGGTGGAATATACAATTTATTAATCCACATAGGCAATTCTGTGCTTAGGATTTTGCAAGGGAACATTTATCTGACTGGGTTCAATTCCGGACCCAGGGTGCTGTCTGTGTGGAGTCTGTATGTTCTCCCCAGGTTTCTGTGGGTTTCTCCCACAGCCCATGGACATACTGGTAGGTTGACTGTTGTCTGGGAAGACTGGACCTGGTGTGAGTGTGTGTATCTACTGTCCTGTATGTGCGCCCTGCGACGGACGGGTGTAATGTCCAGGGCGTACCCTACTTTGTGCCCACTTGCCAAGACAGGCTCTGGCTCCCCCTCTTCCCTGGAGGACCTTGGTAAGAAGCAGTTAGAAAATGGAGGGAAAGATCTTGGGCTCATACATGTCCACAGCAAACTCACCTTCAGACAGACAAGGGACAGGTAGCCCCACACTTCAGGGTTGGCATTATGCAGGGTGTTGGCTTCTGTAAGAGCATCTTCTGCCTCCGTCAGCTCCTCCAGCTGAAACCACATATAGTTAGTTGTGAGAATGGCAGTCGCACAAGTGGAATCTTACAACGTATCATGTCTTGATATTACTTTGATCACTTTTGCTTGACACTAGACCTGTGTTTTTGAGCAACCAATGAACAATCCTCTCCAGACATCCCTCGGAACATGCCATAAGGCTGAGAAGCCTAGGGCTGAGTTCAGAATGCACATACTTTAATATGTTTTATGCATGACCTTCAAGTCTCATTTTCCATTTTGACATGATGCACTATGCAATTGAACTATTTCAGCATATTTAGCTCCAACTGCAAGGAGGGAATGTTCTGAAGCTCAGTGAGCACTATACGCTAATGTACTGCAGTCATCTGGATTTCTTGCGCAACACCAAAAGGAATAAAAAAACATGTTGGAGAAATTCTTTCAAGGCACAAAACTTCTCACAAATCTCACAAGACCAAAAACTTGTACGAAACACGCGGTCCTTATAATCCACTCCATAGCAGTACGTTAATGCAACCAGCAGAACGCAAGGTCAGGCCAATTTATTGCAAGCAAACGTATCTATGGTGCCCTATAATAGGGGTGCTCATTTTTCTGTGGTGTAGTTACCCTGTAGCAGGCGATACCAAGCCCCAGCCAGGTCAGGCAGGAGGGGGAGTCTCTGCAGGCCCTCAGGTAGATGCGCTTGGCCTGCTCAAACTGGGAGGGGGCGAGACACACGAAACGATCAGTGGAGAGCTCTATCGAATCAACCTTCTCATCCAAGACACTCTATCGATGTTATAAAGTGTTGACATAAGAAAGACAACAGAACAAAGTATAAAAACAGAAAACGGTAAGGCATGTTCCAATCATGCTTCCATTATAATATCACTCATAATAAAGGTCAATGTTTGAAGGTGATTTAAGAAGAGTTAAAAAAGAGATCAGGCCTTCTCACTGATCTAGCCCTTTTAGTATCTAGTAGTTAACAGATCCAAGGATGTTATTCAGCCATTTCTTGTTAGATGCCATGCCATCGGCTTCAACAATACGGAATAACTATAAAGCTGTGCTTTCTGTGGATAGTTCTTTTGTTCAACTATCTGAAGAGAAAATACAATGGAGGAAATGTTTTTGATTGTATTCACTAAATCTATCCAATTTAACTGAGAATAACAAATTTAACCGCACAATACATTTCATTGGAAAAAACACAATGAGTGTTGCTTTTCACTTCTGAGTCGTTGAGGAATGAAAGCCGACAGCACCTACAGTGCAACAGGATCCTGCAGTACTTAAAGACCGACCTGCTTTTCCTGCAGGTAGATGGTGCCAAGCCTGAGGTAGATGGGATGAATATCAGTGGCGTCTGTCACAAAGTCCAGGGTTCTCTCATAACATTGCCGAGCCTTGCTGAAATTCCCCGTCAGGTAATGAAGGTGTCCGGAAAGAGCCCAGACATCTGGGTTCTGCAAAGGCAAAGTTTCAAAGGTTCAAAAAGCTGTGCATTTCTGACGTCTTTCTCCAGCTTCTTGGCTTCTTGGCGTTTCTGAAAACCAACAGATTTGACTGCCCACTGCTCATCTCTACTCAAAGTGCTCTGCCACACAAGTCAACCACAGAGAGGCAGGACCTCGGTGTTATGTTTCATCCAAAGGACGGTGCTTTTTCTAGTTTTCAGGTTTCTAGTTCTAGACTCTAAAAATGTCAAGAAAATGATGCTGTAGATAATAGAATACTAGAGATATTACTGTATTTCAGAATGAACTGACTTGGTCCAAGAACTAAACTGAAGGTTATCACAAGACTGTAACAGAGTAGCACAGTCAGTAGATGTCAAACCATTAAAACAAAGTGTGGTAAAGGCTGTAGCTGTGCTGTTACCTCAAAGCTGTCCTGTAGTGCCTCCTGTAGATTCTTATCAGCGTCATCAAACTCCCCTCTCTGGAGGTGAAGTCTGGCCAGGGCGACATGATAGGAACTGCTGGGCCCTCCGTCCGGACACAGCAGCTCCTGAGCCAGCGCGCGTTGAGCCATCTACAACACAGCCAGACAGGGCGGAAAACTAAGGTCCAGCCACCACCCATTGAACATACTTGGTCTTTCAATCTTTTCAATCTCATTGCTTGTGTGGAATTCTGAAATGTGCTTTTTTCATGATTCATTTTCGTTTTATTAAGTCTCACTCAACAAGAACTCAATACTTATGCAAGTATCTTATGGGAACTATAGTTTCAAAGATCATTGCTTTGGTCTCCATTGCATCATTAGTCTACAGATCAGACTTTGCTTGCGCATTTTTCTGCATCCATGGGTAGTGTTGATCAATGCAAACAAATGTAAATCATCCTCCCTGTAAATATTCTTTGCAACATCCAGTGAAACAAAGAGTATATGTTATAGTAGCATCTTTACAGCACACAACAGCCCATACAACACCCTAGCTGCAATATGATGAAATTACTAATATATAGAATTACACATGGTGATCAGACATCAGAGGATCTTTAGAAAGAGCATAATGCATCAAGGATGACTGCACTGAGACAATGGTCATGTGAATCTGGAAGATGTCCTAACCTGAAGGGCGTTGGTCTGCAGTAGGAAGTGTACAGTCTCCATGAAGATAGTGGTGGTAGGTCTGAGGCTACTGCTTTCTGGGGGCTTGGACACAGGCAGGTCAGGCTCTGGCACTGCAGCTCCATCCCCCTGACTGTGCTCAGAGACAGCAGCCACGCTCTCCGTTTCTGCCTCGGCACCTGCAGGACAAGCACAGGTACATACTGACCCAGAGCGTGCCTACTTCACGCAGATCACATTTCAGATCACAGGAGCTCTGTTCTCAGGAACAGATCTAGCCACACGATTACCATCTGTTGCCTGAAAGAGTAGAAGGAAGATTGTTCTTTTCAGGATTACTAAAAAGGAAGACAGTTTCATTACTGATGTTTTTGGCTTGTGGATATATGATATTCACTGTTTCACATACTACTTACCGAAATTGTTATGTATTGTATTTTTTTTGCAGTTAAACTAATTAAAATGCATACTGTTGTTTTTGTATTAATCACTTCAATGGTCACATAAAATGGAAAATTTAGGCTAATTAATGTTACTGAGGCAAATTAATAACATTTGTAAATATCTAACCACTATAAATGCATTAGAGAACATATTCACCATTTTCTATTGATCTGGTGCTATCTAGCATTCAAGATCTCTTTCAGCCCATGGCTTTATTTTTTCCATCTTCTACTTCGTCTGACTTTAAAGTACAAAGTTTAAATAAAGGACAAAGCTGTCTATACAATTGTGATATTCCAGTTCAAATAAATTCCAATTAATTTGTGCAAAAAATTATTTTCTCTTATAAACCTTGTGAACAAAGCTTTATAGTGCAGTGTAGCATCTTGACAACATCTTACATTTACATATACATGTACATATACTGTATACGTACATACACTGCACATGTATATACTGTATATATACATGTGGTCAGTTTGGGTGCTGTCTTCTCACCTCTTTCCTCCTGTCTCTGGATGTCCGATTCAATCTCTGCAGGTTCCTGGGCCTCCTGTGCAGGAGCCCCCTCTGATCGCTCAGTGCCCTGTTCATCTTCAGCCTGGGGTGCACAGATCACAGTCACCTGCGACGCTGCCTTCAGCTGTTTATTGGCTTCCAGAAAGGCCATCTCTGCCTGTATTGCATTTTCTTGCCCTTCGTAGAACAGCCCTGAAACAACCCAAAGGTAAAATGGCTGTACTTTTTAAGCTGATATGGCCCTGTTTCTCGATTTAGATCTTACCAATCGCACAGCCTGTGTCTAGAAATCAACCAAGAGGGATAAAGGACATTACAGTGCTAGAGCTTAATGTTTAGTTAGCCCCCACATTAAACATACCATTTCAGCAAAACAGAATTTCAGTATCTTTGTATGCACGTTTTATTTTCTCTTTTTTCACCCCAGGAAGCCAAGGAGATTCAAAAAAGTGAAGCATAACCTATAACAGAGACACCGAAAATTACTGCCCATGAAGGAACCCAATTTACCAAACAGAGTCCAGGCGATCACACTGGAGGGGTCCACACAGGTGGCGTCTTCAAAGAAGGTCTCTGTGTCTTCATGCCTCCCTCCCATCTCTGCCAGGATCCCACACAGCAGGAGGCTACACACAGAGCAAGCAGCCAGTATGAACTCTCAAAAAGATCGAAGCATGTGAGTTCGCTGAAGTACCTTAAGATTGCACCATCAGCAGTGCAATTTTTTTCTCATGAGTGAAAGATTTCAGAGTAATTCTAATGTCTTACTTGGACATGAGTTATCAGTCTTGTGTAAGTAGATACAATAAGCGTGAAGCATTACCCATTTTGGGCTGTGTAGGAAAACATGCCCTTAAATGGCCATAGCATCCTACCCAAAAAGGATAAGCAAGCAGCTGGCTCAGTCTTTCTGAGTTCAAAAGTTATGGCAACATCTTCTGCATTGCTTCACTGGATGCAAACCATTCACAAATCAATTACTAAAGTTATGCAAAGTTAATAAACCAATTGAAAATATTGGATTTCTTTTGCAGATTTTGCGAATGTAGAATGGAAATTGGAAATTAAAATTCACACCAGAGACACAAGAAGAGCAATGCACTGAGAGCAGAACAATAAGGGCTGGTGAGCATTCGGCACTCACCTTGGCAGGTGTCTCTGATCTAAGGCCACTGCCTGGTGGAAGCACTCTTCTGCCTTGGAATAGTCTGAGGTGAGCATTAAGAACGCTCCATAGTCAAACCAGTGAGCAGGGTTACTGCGGTCCCGGGCCAGCCTCTACAAAATAAAAACACAACTGATCGGAGCTTTCAGGAGCAAAGAAGCCTCTGGAAGCACAGGGATTCTTACCACCCTGTTTTCACCCTGACAGCCTGTCCCAGGGCAGTGGGGAAAGCGAGTATTCTGAATAGTCAATCAAAACGTCAGCATGTCTTTGGAGGTGGGAGGAAACCTTCTCCTAAGTACATTTCATATTTGCATTTTTGTAATGTGTTGTAGGCTGTAGAAGTTTGACTGATATGTTCTATGGTAAAATATGCTAAACATCCTCCACAGTAGTTCATAATATCCCTGCATTCTTCGTTTTTCACTTCTATGAACTGTGAGGTGTCATCATGAATAATTCCCTTATGCTCTTTCTCCTCCACGGTCCCTGGTAACTTGCTAGGCTGAACAAAACTTCCTCCTGCAAATGCATTTCTGGGTTTGACTGCAAGTAATTTGGAACTTAATTTTCTTTGCATCGGAATGACATGTTCAAATTTGGAAGAATTCGTAGTCAGACTGTTACCGGCGTCATCTCATTCCTTTTCATGAAGAACATTTTGTAACATACAGTATGCTGTTCTTTTCAGAAATAGTTCCTTAGCAAGTCATAGGCAAAGTCTTAATGAAACCTGCTAGCCGAATCAAAAATCCAAAAAATGGCTTTTAGTTTCCAGCTAAAATCAGTCTCCTCCCAGTCCAATTTACTTTGGAGTCAGACCAAGACAAACAGGTCGGTTATCTCTTCTGGGATGTAGTCTGAGACAATACTTTCTCCTTAAAAATTAACCACACCAACTAATCTCTTTTCAATTTGACCACGACGTGTACACTATGTAACACTATTCGGACACTTCTAGATGAGACTGACCTCTCTGTCAGAGATGCACTGAGGATGCCACAGGTATCTCCTCACATATATTCTGGGAGTGTCTTGTGACCGAATGCTTTTGAGGCAAACTGAGAGGTGTGCTATATACAGTAACTGGTGTGACTGTACTATTGAGCCCCAGGCCACTCCTTTTCAGTAGTGGTTCCCAGGAATTACACCCTTTCACAGTAGATGTAGCTGGAGCCAAAAAATCTGCTTTGCAGGGCTAGGTGGAGACTGACATACCTATCACTCACACTTCGTTGCGTTCATTTGTGTAGGTTGTGCTACAGAGAGAAGTACAGCTATATATCATTGTGCTCGTGTAAAACATGTGTCAGCCTGTCACAGATGCATGTTATATTTAATTAGTACCTATTCCTCTAATTTATTATTTATCATTTTGTGTGAGCTTCTCTTTAATGCCCTGCATTTGTCTAATGTGTGATGTGTTTAAAATGTTCAAGCAAAGGTTCAGCAAAAGTGTCAGACAGAGAGCACCACATCTTGAGCATGCTGTCCTAGAACTGCGTGTCGAGACTCAAGTACCACAGAATCCAGAATCTGGGAAACGCCTTCCCAAAGACTTTCTCTTCAGTAAGGTAGAGCAGTCAGAGTGTTACATCACACTCAGTGGTGCGAATGAACGACTAAATAAAGGAGAACTGTAGGAAAGCCAGACAGCAAGAACAAGTGTTCCTGTGTATCAAAGCATTAGTCAGAAAAGCTGGAAAACTACTAAATACATCTCATCCTCTTATATACATAAGAAATGTAACTTTACTTGTATATAACCTGTTGAAAACTTTCATTCTGAGACCATAACATGCACAGTGTGTTGTAAAATGATAAAGTTTGAACACAGTTCTACTGGGTGGTGGACTCTCCAATGGTTTCAAATACTGTAATGGGTTGGCACATCCAGGAGTTGCACTGGACTGCGGAAGATTTGTGTTTTCTTTCAGATGTGCTCCTTAGCGGAGCATAAGCAACACATTACCTCCTTGTAGTCTTTTCCGATCAGATCTCAGAAGCTAAGCAAGTCTAAGCATGATCTGTACAGGGTTGGGAGACACCAGAGGGACATCAGTGCTGCTGATGAACCAGTAGGTGACCTATGGTGACATAGTGTACTGTGATCGAAGAAGGTGCTGAACTTTGTATGAGACATTAAACCAATGTTCTAGCTACTTGATGATCAGAAACCCTATTGTTCTTTGTCATAGTTTGTAAAAGTCTTGGTTAAATTCTCTGTGATGAAATATGCTGTATATTCTGCAAGAAGTACTGTATATATTCCTATGTCCATACTTCCTGGTAGTACTGGGCAGCAAGCTGGTAGTCCTGGTTTATCTGTGCCTCCATGGCAAAGTGTTTTAGCTGAGGACAGTCTAGGAGAGGCTGTGGTTCAGACTCCTGGACATCCACTGATAGGGTCTGCAGAGAGATGGAGAGAAATAAGAATCGTTTTAATTACGACTGACCGCATTCACACAGAACAAATATATTGTATATATAGCTCTTTCGCTAGAACCATTACTTAATTCTTACTTTCCTCATTAGTTTTCTCAACCAGTGGTGCAAAATATACAATAGTTTAGGGAAATAAATAATCGAGAAATAAATGCTGAGCAGCACTGCTCTTGCAACATATTTGTAGTACAAAGTTCTGCTCTGGCTCGCGCTGTCTGAGTGAGTGCAAACATGTCCACAAATAAAACCCGTGTGCTTGTCCGCAATTACAGGCATCTGGGCTGCAAGCAGTGTCCCACCATCCCTGCCCCTCACCTTGTTGAGGGCAACGTGCATCTCGTCCACCAGGAACACGTAGAGCTGGCTGAGGAAGGCCTGGTGCTGCTCCCGGTCAGAGAAGCCTTCTGTCCGCAGCATCTTCTCCCTGACAATCCTCACCACCGAGTACTGCCCACACACACAGAACCACACAGGACAGTGACGGCCTACACTTCCACGCTACTGGATCTTTACCACTGTGGAGCTCGAAGCAGCGATTGCGATCAGACTGAAGGACAGGAGTCATTTAACTTTTTACACAGCCACTGAAGAAGACTAATGAGCCATGCTGGCCATGGTGATTCAGGGCAGTCTCTCACAAAATAGCTATTAGATTAGGTCATTTGAAGTAAACGGGCAACTTCTAACTCAAATGGGCTGGGTGATGTTTTTATGTGTCAAGATAAATTTACAGTATTGCCACACATTAAAGGGAGGAACGTGGAGGAAAGTAATAATCAGGGTAACATCAAAGGTTTCAATTATGAAAGCAGGTCAATATATACAGTATTTACCACTCTTGATCACAACATCCTAGATATTGTCCAAAGCATCTTGTCAACGCGATGGGGTATTTTATTTTTTCTTCAAAGAGGGGAGGCTGTCATTCACTGAATCTGTAACCTGATTTCCCAAAACATTTCTTTTTCCCCAAGGACAAGTTCTGCTTTGTAAGGCCCTTGAAGGATAAGGATCTGAAGCGATCTAACTGTTCAAAAGCACTGCCAAGAGGGAAAAAATGTGAGGCACAATTTAAACGGGGAAACCCATGGGTTTCGTGTGATGGTACCTTCATCTGCTCCTTGAAAGCGAAGTACTTCCCCGAGTAGTTGAGCTCTCCCAGGAGTTTCGTCTTGCGTTCCTCTTGGGCAAGCACGTCCAAGGGCAGCTCTCCCTGTGCCAGAGCTCCCCCGAACAGCTCCTGATACTGTTCCAGCACCAGCCTCGCCACGCCCCCCACCTGCCCGTGGTAGTCCTGCACTGCCTGCGGTCAAGACAACACTTCGGTTAAAGGGGAGCTGCAACGCTAGTTTTATATTTTGGGGTGAGAAAGAATCCGTATCAACGAGTGCATCTGAAACCCCAATAACAGTAAAATGCACACAGTAACTTGTAAAACCTCACAACATTTACATCACAAAAAGACAACATTTCCAGGTATGCGTAGCACCATTTTCTATGATTCAGAAAGAGGCAACAAAACTTCTGGTGATATGAGGCGGCCCTGTGACATTATAAACAAGCAGGTTTGTGAATACATTTCTTTTAGACCAACATATAAAATATTGCTCTTGAGTCCGAGACAGTTTTGCTGACAAATACAACTTGCTTGTTAACTCTGCATGCAGATCACGTTGGAACATTTCTGTGGTGAAATGTGATGCAGCAGACCTGTACTTATTTGCTCGTACATCACAGTACATTAGTCATTAGAGTGACTAGTGAGCAGGAAGGGCCGCTTCACATCACAATTCTCGCGAACTCTCAACAACATGGTGACCTACAGTACTTTCTCATAGTTTGTTACCGAGATTTAAAAACCGGTCTGAGAAACTGGGACTGAGATTAATCCTTAAATACAGGGATTAATGGCAAATCATTGCAGTAAGGCTTTAGTTGCTTGGAATCACCTGGAGCAGGTGTTCACAGCCTTGGTCTTTGAACAGCTTCTGGTTTCTGCACCAGTTCTTAATCTTAATATGTTTGGTGCAAGTTTATAATTTTACTTTCAGCTCTTAAAAACACCAAAGGAATTTGTAATTGGTATCAACCCTGCACCAGTTTCTCAGTTTCAGAAGAACTGCTTTCATTCAGGTGTGTTGCTGGAACATCTCCCACTAAAATCACATTCAGCATAATACATAACGTTTATACATTTAATACATAAATGTCATTCGTTTTTAGTGTACTACAGTGTCAAAATGGACTTTTTTCCCCAATATGACCTCCATTACCGCAGAATTATTTGGCATCAATCAACGTGCTAAATAAAGCTCCCTTAGAAGGTGGGCTTTCAATCTCTCATCCAAGGAAATTAGCAAGCCTGTTCCAACCTAGAGCTGAAACAACAACAGCGTGACCCCTGGCATTGCCATCTGGCATTCAGAGAGCTGCTCCCGGCATGCAATAACCCTTCAGTAGCCTGGGCTATTTATAAACCTCATAAGCACAAAACTATCTGTACCTATGAACAGAATAATAACAGTACTGCTGCCTCCTGCATCATTTGCCTCTCCCTGCCATGAGTTATCATTAAATTAGATCTGAATATTTTATTCATAAGGAAGCCACAAAAACAATTCGTAAAGATCCACAAGAATGCAGCATCCCATGTGGGCAATTTAAATATTTGATTTTGGAGCATTTTACTTCAGTGTTATCTCAAAAACGTACAAGTCTATTTATTGTGATGGTCACAGATAGCGTAACTATGACCACATATGATCAGCAGTAACAATATTCAGTTAATGGTGCTAACCTTAAGTGTAACACTAATTCTCAATGTCTTTCTCTGTTCTCAGACCAGTTAAAAATCCGGGTAACTCTGACCCCACATAAAAACCCAGATCAGTCTTATTCTAATTGTACACGTAACTCAAAGACTCCACCGCTAAATTTCACACTGTCTAAAACTATACATATCTGAACCATTATTTCTGTCCCTACGATGTAGAATGAAACCTAGACTCTATGGATCTTGTTGCTTGTTGCACTAGGAAGCAAGGATATAATAAAATCTGGAAATTGATTTAGGGAAAGTCCTGTTTGAAGATGGAATTTAAAAAATAAAATTTATCTTGAGCCTTTCTTTCATCCGTGACATTTTGAGATCAGTGTGTTACATCATTGATGGTGTTGTTGAGGTCCAACAACATCCAAGTGACTGGGATATATGGCCTTTCATTCAGTAACCACAAGAGGGAGCTGAAGACATAAGCAACACTGAACCTCAAGTTCAAATACAGCATGAGAAAATGATCCATCACTGAGTTTACTTCTTCTGGCCTTCACTTCAGACTGATGGCAACAACAATGAAAGAAAGAAGATCCAAATGTAAGCTAAGGGTCTTATAAAACATGTCAGGTCAATTCCATATAAAGTGCTGTCTCAAGCTGTATTTCCAAAACCTAAACTACATTAAGAGTTTCTACTAGGCAAAAAAAAATGATGATAAGGTTTGCCTTAACAGTCTTTGTTTCTATATACGGTACTTAGTGTACAAGGTGCAGAGGAACTTGAAGATCCGTATCGGACTGTGGAGGCACGTCCAAGGAAATTACTTCTAGAAAAGAGTTAACGAGTCACTTACCCTGTCTGCTCCAACAAGACGACGAGGCATGGGAGGCCGAGGAGGAATCAGCTCTGCTACTCTGCAACGGGCACATGAGACATTTTTTAAAAAGATATCAAGCCAATGTTTCAGGTCTTTTTAATCTTTTAAAAAATACTGAATCCCTTTAGCTATGAGCAAATACCAATCAAGGACATGTAAAATGCTATAAGAGGCTCCTAAGGCCCACTGTACCCAAAAAAAAGCTCCTTGAGCTCCTCATACAAAATGTTGATCAGAGAACACAAATTATACTGAAGCACGGCAAGCGTGTACTCATCCCATTAGCAGAGCTTATATCACACACAGAAGAACCGATTTGTTTGCAGGCTTTAGACGGACACAAGTAGAGATTCAAGAGTTAGAAAAGGGGGAATTAGGGTTGTATTGATCTAACAAAGAGTTGTGTATGCAGGCTCTTTAACAGATTCTGATTTTCAAATATTTAAAATAGGCTGCAGTTTTGAGTCACCAACCTACCTACAATGGATGAGTAGAGGCTAAAAAAAATACATATATATATAAAAATACACAATATATGTTCTATGAGTTTTTCCTTATGATCCAGTCCGATATATTGCCCTTTTTGTTCAGATTTCTATTAAATATTCTGAACTAAACGTTAACATAATTCCTCCCCAGTAGGTCCACAAACATGCTGTAAGTATTAGGTACCACTGACACCATTAGAGCGAGATTGTCATTTTAAAGACTATTGCAGTTGGCAGTACCTCTTGGCAAGCTCTTCTGGTGGTCTCTTTGGAACCAGGGGTTTGTCTAACGCTATCTCAATCACCACGTAGGTTCTGGCTTCTGCATACATCTAACACATCAAAAGAAGGGACGGAAACGTTAGGCACAGTCTCTGTCTCAATGTTACATTTCAAATGTGCTCCTCATGTGCAAGTAGTGCAGTTGTAGCATTGAACAAAAACATGTGAAGTTACATAAGGTTTGTGAACAGACAGTCCAACTGTACCCTGACTTTGTAAAGGCTTTTGAAATGATGCTCACAGCTAAAAGACCCAGCATGGCCCTCTCAAGTCTCACCTGCACAGATGGTATTTGTAGTTCCTGCTCTCTGCACAATAATTGTAAAAATCTAAACCATAATTGTTTGCTTGTAGTTAATGTAATAATTGCTTATTTACAACCAATCCAAGGCCATAGTGAGTGTTATATTTTAACATTTGTTCGTGTTACTTTTTGTGAAGTAACTGTTTAACACTTAAGTCACCCTGGTTAAAATATTTTTAAATGATTACAATTTACAAAAAAAATACAATTAAATAAAAAATGCAAATCAAAACCACAGAACTGTGTAAAGTGACTGTTGTGGAATTTGTGCCTTTTAGTCTTCTTTAATTGTTATTTCTATCCTGGGATGCATCTTATTGTGAATCTTGTTATCTGTGAAGGCTGTGTTAACTGATTAAGAGTGCACTTGAATCACATTCCTGGTTTTAAACGCAGGAGGCTGGAGAGTGAGTGACATACTGTAAAAGGAAATCTAAAAGCCACCGCATACTGTTAAACCCAGAGCAAGGGGTTAGTGATTCAGGTGCCATCGGGCTACACCCCCCCACTAATGCACTATGACAAATCTAGCTCACCTGTCCTTCAGGGTTTAATGGTACTATGGTATCAATATCTGAAGCACTCTCTGATGCCACCGGTTTTTGTGCTGCTGGCTGTGTGGATGTCTGACAAAGCAAAGAGAAGAAAGAGAGGAATCACTCAGTATTAACCAAAAAATAACTCCATTGAAATGTCATCAAACACTCTGTTTTTTCTGCCTGTTTTAACTAAAGCTGAGAAAATATAACTGGCTGACTAACTGGGAACAATTGCAGGGGTTTTTGTGCGAACAAAGTAAAAGTCAGAAGTCTTGCTGCTCCTAATATTCTGCTAAAACAGGTCCAGCGTTATTCTATCTAATATTAATGATTATTTTCCTACACACTTTCCTGACTCCTGTTAAAATGGCCGCTACTACAGATATAATATCCTGGTAGAAAATCTTCAAGAAGCTGATATCAATCAATATTACCTAATGCAATATGAAACAGCACAACAATGAGAGGTAAACAAGTCACACCATGAAGTGTTAACAAAAGGAAATGCCTGGCCTCTTTCTTCAGGCACATTTGTTGGTTCTGTGCAGAGAGCTTGGATAAGATCAGTATTCTGATTTCTATAAGAAATAGTGAAAATATTAAGTGCAGCTGGTTTGTGACACCTTGGATATGTCACTTACTACGTACAGACGAACCTATAATTTCCACACTGACTTGTACAATCCGTGCCCTTATACCAACTGCTTTTCAGCATTTTGCCTTTTGAATGCTTGCAATCCTTCATCCGTAGATGACTGTGACTGTCAGCCAGATGGGCTAATCAGATGACTCATTTTCATAATGAAGCCTGCAATCTGGCTCCATTAAATTTAATTGCTTTGGGAGCTTTACTTTTGTCATTGCTTATGACACAGACACAGTGAAATCATGAGCTCTGATTGAAAATCAAGGAGTTCACTTTTAACTTTGCAACACAGGACTGTGAAGTTTAAAGTGATAGATTTTTTTTTTTTTTTTACAGTTCGCCATCTGTTGATGTTTAGACCATTCGCCTAGATTTCAATGCAGTATGGCTGGTGTTGTTCCCCAGAGTATAGGACTCTGCCATATTAAAATTAGCGGCCCTGACGCTGAGATATTCCAGCTGCAACAAAATACCAAGCACAGAATGGAGCACAAACCAGTATAATCATATGTGGTAGAACTGGCCACATGCAAAAGGCTGCCGTTTTTACTAAGGGCATAGAACCCACGTAGGAAAACTGGATAATACACACATTTTGGTAGTGATCACTTTAAACGGGCAAAGCTCTGTTGTTTAAATTTGAACTTCACAATTGGTATCAAATCGCAGCAGGTGATAATTGCTTCCTATTTAGAAAAAAACAAGTCCAACTGAATTACTTTCATCCCTTCACTATCGGGATACTATAGTATAACCCTTTAATAGTGCTAATTCTAATAAGACGAGCGTTAAAAAGGAACGGTTATCTTCTTCCTTGGTGCAGGTTCTGTGCTTAGGTCACACAGCTGCGCACACGCAACAGGTCTCCGATCTCGCACCTTTTTGGAGGCCTCTTTATCCCGGGCGCCCTTCTCGTCTTTGAGGATCTTGCTGGGCGCCCCCTTGCAGTGGGGCGAGCCGATGGAGGAGGGCGCCCTGACCTTCCCAGGCCCCCCCGCCTGCCGCAGGCTGTCTCGCAGGACGCTGCCCTGGCGCTTCGTCTGCAACACACACCCATCGCACCACAAACACGTCAGAGTCTTTCAGCGATTCCGCTGTGGCCCAGTCCAAGGCAAGCCAACAGGATGGGCCAGATTAGATTAATCCAGGGCTGCACAGAGACAAACACAAAGACAAAGTGGAGGTTCGACTCTCCTGTCATTAAAAAGTATTGGTACTGTCACATCTTTTGCATCATTTAGCAGTGTTAATATTGTACAGTTACTCACTGTTTCTGCAACATAATCTAATTTAAATATGAATAGCCCTGCGCTTTACTACTTTAAACTGAATTTTAACGCTGTAACGTTTCTAAAAAATGTAATCTTTTGCAAGGCACACTAGTTGCTTGTACAAACGGCCCCGATGAAGCAGAAATAAATGTGTATTTGACACATTTGACATGGTGTTGGCTCGTCATTTATTCTTGTAAAGTTTCAAATGGATCAAGTCCTGCTCCCATCCCAGTGTCAGCAAGATCTACCACCAGGAGTGTCTCACCCTGCTTCAAGACTGCATGGTGCCATGTTACTTTCCCTGGTGCTCCCACCTTCAAGCTGGTGCAAGATGACTTTCTAACTCACTTCCAAAACATGGGAGCATTTTTAGTCTGCAAATGTTCATTGGCTATGCCAAAAACTGCTAATTGAGCTGTCTTCAGGATCAAACCCTCCTGTTTCTTGACTGAAGAAACCACCTTACACAATTGTGATCAGAAAGGATTGCCTCACACTACATCTAGAAAACAAAAGAAGACCTGTGCGAATAATCTATTTTTATCCAATAATTCAAAATATACGGGTAATACACTGAACATATACAGCACCTCCAGCCCCTGTGAATTTGTTCAACTATTCTGAGCTAATTAGAAACTAGCCATTCTTTAAAATTCTGTCCGTGGCCATTTGATTGACTGACTCCTTCTATAACAAGGGGCAATCGACCTTGGCCTGGATTCCATGTCTTAATTGGACTTGGACTGTTTGAATAATTGAGTGCTGAATTGATCCTAAATATCTTAATTAACCCAGGTGCTGCAGATCACTGATTTGCAATGCCTGGAATTTACTGCAGGTGCCAAAGTTTCTCCCCCCCTCTGTAACAAGGCACAGGACAGTTTAGCAGCCTAATTTCAGAAATCAACAACTACAAAATGCCCTTCCTTGTTTTCAAAGAAAGCTTAAGATCATCGTAGGATTTTAACTCAAATATCCTGGAATGCTGTCCTGTGATGGACAGACATCCCATCCAGGCTGTATCCTGCTGTGCGCCCATTGCTTGCCAGGATGGGATCCAGCTCCCTCCTGACCCTGAACGGGATGAAGCAGTCAGAGATCTGAAGGAGGCACATCTCGGATTGTCCTCAGAATAAAACCGAGAGATCTCGCCGACACCATGTATGTTCTCAGCTTTATGAAATGATTCATAGCCAGAATGTAAACATCATTCCTTTGGATTTTTATTTGGAGATATAAAATTGAATAAATGCTGCAAAAAAAAAATTAGGAAGGTGGCTACTAGGTACTATGGTACTTCAGCTGTGGAAGGGATTCCATTTAACCTGTATTCGATATAAAATACAGTACCTTCTGCTGTCTTCTAAGAAAGTAAGAGCCCCACTCTTTTCAGCTTCAGTTTTAATGTTTCTTGGATCACCTTGGAACGAAATGAAACGCAGGCAAGGTGCTTCGCTGAACCAGACAGTGAGTCGTCTCCTACCTTGGCAAGCAGGTCTGTTTCGTAGAAAGGGACAACCGGATAGGCTCCCCTGATGCGCTTCACTCCTGGATACAGCAGCGGCGCCATGTCCACATACGCCACTCCGTGGAAAGAGATCTGTCCGTCATCTTCCCCCTGAAGGAGCCCAGAGCTTAAGAGGAGGAGAGCTAAACCACGTGAGATCATCCCTAAAATAACCCACCCTTCAGTGGTTGGATCAATTTTAAATGCATGTGACTCTTCCATTTCCATCACCTTCACTTGATTGCCTTAAACAGCTTTTTTATAAGGCAGCACACTATGTCATGAGCTGTTTAATGTCATTTTGTGTCTAACGTGTTTCAGCTCGTGAGAGGATTTAACTGTTTAAAGAGGTTAAGCGCTTGGGGAGCCCCAGCCAACTTGACCCAAGGTGGCAGTGAAATCTTATGCTCACTTTGCCGTGAAGGTCTCACATGACAGACTCACCCCCTTGTCTTTGCCAGTTTTGCCTGCCTTGGTGGTGTTACTCTGTGGCGTCCTCATGATCTCCACGGGCCAGAAACGGCAGTCAGCAATGCGCCTCAGCAGGCTGTGGAGGAAAGACACATCTGTCGCTACACTGCAATGTCACTGGGCATAACGGGGCAACTTTATTACCCCACAGCAGATTAGACTGAAACTCGAGCATCAGCTCAGAAAAGAAAGGAGCATCTCATTCCTAACATAAACATAACATAAGCCTCATTTAAATAACGTCACGGCAGGGGAAGATGCAATAATACCATGGGAAGGAAGTCAGGGAGCTTCACAGGTCAGCACCCACATTGTATTTAAGCTGCGGAGTGTCAGGCCAACTAAGCCTGTATCTGCCGCCCCGAGAGGCCAAGAATCACTTTATCAGCAACAGCAAAGATTTGCCTTATTTAGAACAGTGAATAAAGAAGAACCTGTTTCCAAAACCCTGGCATCTGGGCGTTCTCCTGCGCAGAGAGTAAGAGGGGGACTAGCTTGAATATGATGAGCTTCTACCAGGAGTCCAGCAGAGACGCAGAGGACATGGACACTGTTGGATTAATATGGGATTGCCGGTCTTACCAGCCCAGTCCTCCTGCCTCCACGAAACAGCGCCTCTCTGTGTCCCAGCTCACCCGCTTCCTAGCACACTCAGCGTCGGCTCGGAACTCCCTGTCCTGAGAAACACCGAGCCACGGACAATCAGCTCACCGTGACACGTGCACAGCGCTTTAGAGGACACTGAAAAGCCATTCAGACAAAACCCAGTGAGCCACAGTGGACAATCACTGTAGTTAAAATCTTTTACTTTCAGTGGAGGTGTTCTGATTGCTTTAGATTTGTTTTTGTTTTTTTTTAATGTCAATGTACTTTTCAATTAATTATAGATCTTTACCCTTCTCACTGTCATATGTCTCTTAAAAAGCACAGCATTATTATTCTATACTATATCTTCATGTTTTTTTTATTTTCACTGGCAAACGTGCTCAAGATTGATAAGAAGCTCCTTTTAATGTTTAAAACCAGTTTCCTATTAAATGAAATCGTTGACTCTGGGTACCTCCACACCAGTCAGCTCTCCATCTTCCCCCTCAGTAGGCTCAGCCTCTATATAAGCCCCTGGGATGAACTGGGCTCCAGGGGCCAAGACAGGACCCATAGGCCACTTCTTCAGCCTGGGTGTGGGCTCCCTCTCTCCCCCCTGCTTCAGGACACCGTTGGAGAACAGCAGCAGTTGCTCCTTCTGCACAAGGAGACATTAATATAAGAACAGAAAATACAGTTTAAGAACAGGTGTGACACCAACACAAGCAGTACTATGTAGAAAAGATTACTAGTGAGGCTTAAATTGATGGAATGCTTTTTCTTTGTTATAGGAAAGGTGGTTCTGATGTTCTCTGGTGATGCCCTGAGTGTCCCTTTGATATTTCATCCCTGTCATAATGCAGTTGTCTGGTCGGCGATGGCCCCGCTGGGCAGCGGGAGTCTCACCTCAGCTGTCACCGGAACCTGCAGGGCAGCCACACAGTTGAACGCAGGACCTGCCAGGTTCCAGACTTCAGGGACCGAGTAGGCAGTTTCAACAGCCACCTTCAGCAGATTGGAGTCTGCAAGCTGAGCATCGGAGAGCAAAGGTTCTGGAACACAGATGGCCACATCCAATGCTGGCTGTGCCAAGGAGAGCAGATACAACATTTCACACACTGGGCTCATCCACAGCCTCAAGCAGAGCAGCAGCCCCCATACAGACTTACTGGAGACTGGTGCTTACATGTGCCATAGCTATGACTACTTCCTAAGAAATGCAAGTGGGATTTCTGAAGATATTTAAAACAGGGCATTGTGACTGTGGAACCCTTGCAGTCGCTTAAGTTTCATTTTTTTTCCCCTCAGTCGTTTCGAAAGACTGATAATACCAGACACGCACTATGAAAACAAACTTCTCATTAAACAAATGAACATGACTAGAAAAGCAGAGGCCGTGAAGTGGAATTTTAAGCTCACCTGTACAAACAGTGTTTTTCCTGAAAAAATATAGTATATCGGGCTGAACAAAGGAATCGTATTGTTGGAGTTTCTGTTAGGGCTCATTTGACACACGACAGACTGTGGGTACACTCCCCTTACCTTACTCGTTCCCTCCAGAGTGGATACTTCTGCTGATGAACCTGCTGTTGGGTGCAATATTACAGTCGTGGTGAACGTGTACTGACCTACAGGGGAAAGAGATTGACAGAGATTGAGAAAGGCGATAATTCTTGGTCCATTATATAAAATATATCCGTTATGGTCATAACTGCAGAGCTGTCTAATCCCAGCTGACAAGCTGGAGTATTTGCAGGTTTTCTAAATCTCTTTAAAACACAAAGAGGTGGAATATGTTACTTAATTGGTCCAGTTAGGCCAGTAATAGGAAGATTTACATTGTTAAGAGTTGAGGCACAGTGAAAACCCCAAAACACTACTGGGTCCACCGGGACCAGGATGGAACACCCCTGATTTAGTCCAGAGGAAATTAAGATCTGATGAGCTGAAAGACTTGGTTGGAATGACCTTATAACAGTCGTGACTATTTTCTAAAGATCTAGTGAACCTTAGGAGGATGAAGTGAACTTGTTATGGACAGCGTAAAACACAGACCTGCTGATTTTAATGTTTGTTATTAAAGTAAAAAGATAATTCACACGCGAGTTCCACTTAAGCTGATTTGTTTCCAGCAGCTTTTAATCAACAGCTCTTGATTCTCTGTAATTCTAATAATTGCTAATAGTATAATATACTTTAAGACACTGGCATGTTTCCTCTTTAAAATGCATAATGACCCCAAAAATAATAAGGTACTTTTCCACTCACCATGTAGCAGGGGCAGTAAGTCCACAGCAGCCTGGCCCAAAACAACAGTTTTCTCTTCTTTCTGTTTCTTCTCCTTTGGCAAGATTTCAAAAAGGGTCACTGTGAAGACGAAGGAGTGAGTGATCAATTCGCTCCACATTGTCTAGCTTCTAACAAGCACCAGACAGTGTTACAAAACTGTGGGGGAATGGAAAAACATGCTTTGACCTACATACCAATAGATAGTACTGAATGAATTGCTGGGCTGCCATGTCTATGTTTCAACACACATTGCCACTGTTGTTTGTTGAGCAAGAACTAACCATACTAAAGCAATGCAGAAACATTTTATAATCACCCCAACATTTCGAGCTTTCGAGAAGCTGTGTTTTTAATTCCCATCTGGGACATAGTGTAGTTCAATCACCTTCATTATGCATGTGAATTTTTAATTGACATTAGGTCAGCTTTCTCTGTCACTGAGATAGTAACAATAGCTCACTATGAATACTACTGTTCACAGCTACAGCACTACTACAAGTATCCAACCACATGAAAATACCAAAGCTACTGTGACCAGCATGCATACAGTACAAGGAAGACAATGTCACTGCTCTGACAGCATTTGCCAATGTAAAAATAAACAAATCTAAAAAAAACTGTGAGTAAATCATGTCCAAACTGCACAGCACTCACAGAGGACAGGTTTTTGTGCCAGGTCATCAAGTGTGTTGCCTGTTTCTGTGCATTCAAAGCTGCAGGTAAAGTTGTACTCAACTCCCTGTTCAGACCCTGGAGCGGCCTCGAGCTTCTGAGAGTCCCCCAGCTGTGAGCCATTGAACTCAGCTCTGACGAAGGTGGGCAAAGACTCTCCCTTGGTACCTTTCTGTGAGACAGTAAGGAGACGCTTATAGAGCCATTTGACAAAGTTACATTTTTGGATCAATTTTGTACAACACGCACAGATTTTATATTTTATCTCCTCGATTTGTAGCTGTGTTAGAAGAGAAAACTAATAAAAGACATTGTTTGACACTTGATGTATGTGTCACCTTTGACACCACACAGCAGGGATTTATGCTGTTGAGGAATCAGTAAATAGGTCCTATAATAAAAGGATTTAGACCAAGGATGACCAGCTCTTTTCCTCCAAGACTCTTTACTGTTGATGTCTACTCTGATCTTAATTTACCTGATTGAAGTAATTATTTGGAAAGAATTAAAAAGGTACTGTTATTACAGTATCCACAAAATATCCCTATTTTTTATTGGGATTTAAAACTTAAACCTTGGAATGTGTTAGCTGAATGACTAGTGTGTTTCTGGGAAATTCTGTGACAAGACTCACTCACTGTTCATAACTAGTAAAGCAAACTAGCTCGCGTCTGCTGTATTAATTTAATGCAGCTGCGTGATATGGCTCCTCGTTTTAGAATAAACTCTGGGCACGTCAGCCCCCCAAATCTCGTATTTTTTTTGTCATACCATCCATATCAATTAGCCTTACCAAATTCCTGCCTCGCAACACGGTGAGTTGGACAGGTACCGCGATCTGAACGCCACCCGCCTGGCACTGCTCCATGGGTGAAAATAAGGCAAGGCGCACAACGAAATCTTCGCTGTCTTTCGGTGCACAGCGAAACGACTCTGTTTAAAGAGGCTATAATTTTCCGCCCACTTGTAGCAATGCTGGAAGTGTTTCCTTCTGCTTGTGCAGCTGAAGACGAGCAAGTTATGGCGTCTGTGGTTGCCATGGTTACAGGCCATCACATCGCGAGATCTTGTGAAAAAGTAAAAGCAAAACTTTCTAATTTCTTTCAAACGACAGTAGCAGATTATAGTATAATATGTATAATTTAATTACATTTCAAACTGTAGGAAATCGGGACGGAGAAACTCGCGCTAATTAACTGGAAGTTGAAAAGAGCGGTAATATTACCAAAAGTGGGCACGGCAGTTTTTTATCTATTTATTTTTGACAGTAATATTTATATTTGCAATAATATATCATTGATATTTATACACAGTAATGGTACGCGCCCAATACGCTCTTACTCCCCTGAAGGTATTTTTTGTGCATCAACCATTTTAAAGTTCGTGCAGGTTCCGTGTTGTAGCAACGGTAACTGACGAAGAGGTCCTGGCAGCTCGATGTCACGCTTTCGAAAAATAAACAAAGGCCCTGTACAAGTCAGCTCAACACGGCAGTGCTGCCTCGGGCACCGGGACACACACGCACAAAGAGTCTGATTTAAATTGTTCGTGAAGCGTTGCCCCGTTGCACAGCACCGTATATCAGCGAAGTGCAAGCAGGACCTACAGCGGCCTGTGCCCGACGGGCGGCGGGACGGAGTCCTTCATTCGGCTCGCTTCAGCATGCAGCCGGCCGGCAGGTCAGTCAAACTGCGGGGAAGTTTGTTTTCGCAAAACGTACAACCTCTACAGCATTTCGTCTTCCGAGTTGCGGACGGCAACGTGACGGTCGTCTCGTTCAGTATTCTCATTGCTGAGTTTTCCGAGGCATGGCTTTTTTAGTTCACCAAGTCACCGGGAACTCCAAAAAGCGGTTTCGGTTCCGGTAGTCTGTTGTGCTGAGGCTTTTGCAGACGGTTGCTGTCGTTTACAGTCACGGCAATAAAAGCTGTATAGAGTTATGTACCTGTACCGTGATATGCATTACCCATATTGAAAGAGAATTCGTTTTCAGTTGCCATTGCAACATTCATTCACTTAAAGGGCTTTTTAAATGTAAGAAATCATTTGATGAGGTGTGTTATGGGGGGGATATATATATATATATTTTTAATCCAGCGCGGCCTGCTATATTTTGACCAGGAGTTGGTACGTGTGCAAATCTATCACCTGTAAAGACTGAAGACTTCTGACTCTTGTGTGTCTCAGGTCACTGAGGGAGATCAGCCGAGCCATCGAGCAATGCAAGAAGGAGGAGGAGAGGTTGCAAGAGAGTATTTGTCTGTGCAGGAGGTTGCTGCAGCCCTGGTGAGCCTCGTGAAACTTTTTTTTTTATTATTTCTAGAGTTTCAAAAAAGGCCATACTGAATGCAATAGTTACCAACACTAATCAAGTCACGAATCAAGGAGTATTTATCCATGTGTAATGGAGTCTATATGTAGTTCAGGTGGGTAGCTGCATCAGCATGCGAAGGCTTGAAAGGAACAAGTAATAGGTTTATTCCATGCTGATAAGAAAGGAAACAACATTTTGGCTTTGGAGCCTTCTGTGACCCAGAGCTTGATAAAGCAGTTAGAGAATGGATGGCTGGTTAAGTCTGCAGAGCTGTTAAGTGAGCAAGTTAGTCGTAGGTTTATCCTCTCTTGTCAATAACTGTATGGCTTACGCTGTTGTGCAGGAGAAACGTGGTGCAAGATGACCCCAAGGAAGTTTCAGCTCCAGTGGTCAAAGAAGGTACGCTGACGCTTGCACTGTATCTGTCAATGATACTGAGCGACATTATGTTGTTACACTAATCAGGTCTATTGCAAAACTGCTGCTCTTGAACCTGACATTGCAATTGTCATTGTTTAGGATGTGGGAGAGTTAAGAGCAATGTGGTATGCAAATTACATAGCGGTTCTTTGTCCAAAATGAATTCTCAGGCATCAGAACAGTGATGTGGATGTCTGGTCTGAATCGGAATGA